AAAAAAAAAAAAAAAAAAAAAAAAAAAAACAGGAGATGGAAAACTAAAAGGGGAAAAAAATCCCCGGATCTGATAATTAGGAATATAGATAGTGAACCCAGAGTAAGAGTTTCAGGAAGAGGTGGGGATGGGATGACTCAGAAATGAGGAAATAGAATGAGACAAACATAGACTTCTGTCTCTTTCCAAAACCTTTGCCTTGAAAGGATAACTAGAGAAACGGCTTGGGGTGGAAGCAGGATCAAAACCTCAACTTCATTTGGCTCCCTATGAGATGGGAGAGCACAAGCGTGTTTGTGGGCAGAAAGTCTCATTTTGCGGCAGTTCTGTTACATGGTGTAGTTTCAATCACAGCAAACACTACAGCCAAGACCTCCACCCACCCCTTGACATCGAATTGCTCAAAAACCCCTCACATCAACTCTGTGAGAGACATCCTATGATAATCCACATTGTACTGATGAAATTTTACTGAAACTGAGGTGCAGAAAGGTTAAATAAATGTCCAAAGTCACTCAGCTAGTAAGTTTCAGAACCCAGATTCCTCCCAAGTAATCTGGCTTCAATATTTGTGCTCTTGACCCAGGATCAATGAGGATTGCCGAAGATGGAGTCCTTGACCTTTTTCCTGCTCAGACTGACCTATATCTACCTTTCCCAGTTTCTCCTGCAACCCCCCAGGCCTGCACCAGCATCATAGTAGTGGGCCAGGGGAACACTGTGTTTTAGCAGTAGTGACCAAGAAGGAAGAGCAGAAAGAGGCCATTTGTTGGCATTGCAGGGTTTGCATCTCTCTGGAAGTTGTGAAAAGTCTTATACACATCAGAAGAGAGACATAGTAAACATTATGAGACCTAAGTTTGGGAGAATTGGCTCCAACTCCTAGGATTACTTAGAAAAGGAATGTGACATATGCAGGTATCAATATTTCATCCATAACATTGATGAGGATGACATTGATGATGATGGTAGTGATGATTTGGGGATGATATTAACTATCCTTCATCCCTTCTGGTTATACTTCAAAGAGCAAGTAAAGGAATTGGTTAAAGTACAAGCCAATATGAACTATTTATAATTACTATTAGGCTCTCAGATTATCTGAAAAAAAAATTGCTCATTCTCCAACTTCCCCAGTTCCACCTTACAAGGCATTGACCATTGAACACAATTTTGAGAAACAATTTTGAGAAAGTTTTTTGAAATCCTAATACTTTCCATGTGTCCAATTTGCCTCAAATCTAAAGTTTCCTTATATGGTAAGGCAGCATGGGACATTTTTAAAAGTTCACTGAGAGTGAGTTGTGACCAACTGTCATTTTCCAAGATTTATGGAGCAGCTTTTGGGTGTTCACAATAACTAGTTGCACCACATATTCCACTCCTGCCTGTTTCTTTCTCCATTCACAATGTACTACCTCCAGTGTAACATTTACCCCTCACTTCTCACTTCCTCTTTCTGCAGATTTCACTTTTCTAAATCATGTCATCTTTTAGTTCAAGCATGGTCCTGAGGAGGAGGTAGCTTTGGTCAAGAAAACAAGGGAACACACTTGAGGAAACATGAGAATGTCAACAGAGAGGCCAGGTATATTCCAGCTGCACACTGCCATTCATTTGGAAGATTTCTCAGGAATCTCATTGGCAGATTGTGGAAATCCGGTCTTTAGATGGATTTTTTTAAACCTTTATATACAATAGTTCAGTTCACATATAATGAGTCAAGAATTACATGAAAAGTTACCCTTCTTTATGGATTTCTGTTTAAATTATCTTTGTTTTTAACTTTACCTTTTATGAACTATAGTTCAAAATTAACATTAAAATAATTAAGCAGCATCAAGATGGGTTGCTTGATTGGTGACAGGTATGTGACCAGAAACAGGGACAATTGCTAACACAAGTAATCTGCTAGAACATCTGGAACACCATCTTCTTTTTACAGATGAGAAACCAAAGATCTCAAGGATCTTTTTTTAAGACAGAGCTCTGGTTTTGCACGTCTGCCTTAATCTAATAAAAGGAAAATGCAAAAATTCCAGATTGCAGAGGCAATGTTTTGATGATTATTATAACAATGCACTAGCTAAGAATGGATTCCTGAAAAGGAGGGCTTACTCAAAATCCCTTGTTGGATGGATCAGCTACTCTAATGAACGTAATACACTACCAATTTTGCAAAGAAAAGCACTCTTCTAATGCTGTAAGTCCTTCTACACACCCAACTTGAAATAAATCAATGATTGCCCAGTGTTGATTGCTCTGTAAAACTTTATAGAGTAATTGTATTGTTTGCCTGCTGTGCAGAAATTGCCTGGAAAATATTCAGAATGAGTGTTTTTCTTTCTGTGAAATATCTAGATCAAAACAGAGAGCCCCCCCTTCTCCTGTTTCCTTCTTTCTTCTAACCCCCTTCCCCACAAAACACCCCACCACCAGGTTCCTCTCTTTCCATGGTAAGCTCTGAAGCATTTGTCATCCCAGCTCTCCCTTCCCTGTTTAGTTATTTTTCATCAAAATGTCAGTGAACAGAAGCCCAGTACTTATTTGATTTACTTATTTCTTTCTCACTTTTTAAGCACAAATAACATTTCTTTCAATATAAATATACAATTCTATTAAAAATACAAAAAAGTACTATAATCTTAAGTCACTGTCCAGCAGGTACATGTTTATGAATAGAGTCAGAATTTAGATACTCCACAAAGATGCAACTCTATCCCAATTCTAAGACACTTTTAAACATAAGTCCTTGTTCCATAAACAAATCCTTTTAGAGATGCTTTAAATATGCCTGTGATAACTGTCTAAATTTATGTCAGCAATCAAGGTTATTGACGTGAGCTAGAATTTGACACCAAGAATTCAATTGTATTATATACATATATTATATAAATTATTTTGTCAGATTGCAAAAATACATCAGATTTTGTCTATAACAGTTTTCATCAGTTAATAAGTTAAGTCTTTTTTTTTTTAAATAGCTCAGGTATATTGCTTCCGATTCGAGTGGGAAATGCAGAGCAGTCACGGTTAGGAGGGGCACCCACCACAGCCACAATTCCACCAAGCTGGCAGAGGTGCAGGGCGAAAGGTACCAAGTAATTTGTCCCAGTGTGTGAAGTAAGGGGCAAAGTTGCAATTGAACTGAGAGTGATGCAGATCGTGATGCGCCACGCCTCCATACCACCCGAAAGGCACTAGTCTGTGAGTGGACCACGGAAAGTCGTAGCCTGAGTGGTCCTCCACTGACAGCCAGATGTTGACCACATGGAAGATGAGGACGGTGAGCGGGTGGCACTTGAGGAGCTTGATGTTCACCAAGTCAAAGAAGCCCAAGGAAAACAACTCCCAAACGCTCATGTACTGCGTGGCCAGAGCGAACGAGGACGAGTTCTGGTGGTGCACCTTGTGAAAGGTGCGGTACAGCCAGGGCACTCTGTGGTGCAGCACGTGCCACACAAAGAATTCACCATCGAAGAGCAACAGGCAGAACACGATGTGGCTCACTAGCTCAAGCAGCTGGGGGGCTTCGGGTGGCAGGAGCTTGGGGCTGTGGACCCAGTGTAGCAGCGTTAAGGGGAACACGTACACCACGTGCTGGTAGAGAGTCTGTCGCAGGCAGGGCAGCAACTGCCGGGCTGATGGCGAAAAATCGGGATGAATCTTGTAGCGGCGCAGAGATGGAACCCAGGGGTTCAGGACGTCCAGCACCACGAAGGGGAGGCAGAAGCCCACATAGGTGATGACTGAGAAGAGGACCGGGAAGAAGGGCGACTGGATGAAAGCCTCCCAGGTCTTCAGGCGGTCCCAGAGCGGCTGCAGGAATAGCTGGCTGGAGCTGCAAAGCACCTGGAGTTCGGAGCTGTTGTAGCAGCTCATGATGAAGCTGTGCCTGGCAGCTGCAGCCGCGCGACTTTTCTTAAAGACTGGCGGCCCCGCCCCGAGTGATGTCAGCAGCCTTTTCACTCCTTTTCCAGGCTGCACGGAACTTGAATAAAGAACCCGCAGAGATGCTTAGTTGCTACAAATACACCCAAGCACAGCTGCCTCTAATGGCTTTTATACATGCATGTAAGTCAGAAACTTTTAATATGCATGAAGAATTATGTTCTCATTCATTTTTTTTCAATTGGCATGCAACTTACACTCAACATAATGTACAAATCTAACCTACGGCGTTGAGTTTCCATGAATTTTTGGCCACTCAACTTGTATTTTTAATGCATATATAAAACTGCATATATGTTTCCATCAAGACGCAAGCATAACTTCATTTAAAAAAGAAAAAGAAACTCTTTAAAAGAGTCGTACCTTGCGCCGTCCGAGTCTTCTGTGTGCTCGCTCTATAACGGTCTACACAGCAGCGAAAGGCAAAAGAATTGCTATGTAGAGGGGGCCTCGCATTCTTGGCTGTTTGCGGGTAACTGACGCTGGATATCATATAGGACACGTGGAGGGATGGGAAATTCCGTTGATTCCAGCGACTCCCGAAAGGAACTTTCCCTCCCGGCTCAACCCACCGTATGCAGACTTGCCGGGAAGATTCTGAGCTTGCAAGTGCAGACACTCGTGGCGCCGCGTCCAGCGCATCCAAGACCAGTGACCGGGAGCAGGAAGCACAGCAGTCTAGAGCGAGGGCTGCGACTGCAAGCCTTCACTTGCGTTGGGAGGCGGGGGAGCAGGCGGTGGGGGGATGCTTGGTTTAACACCCAGAGCCTGCACAGATCGGGCTAAGATGCCATTGCATCCCAGTATGGGGCAGAAGTTATTGAAAAAGTGAACCACCTACTTTGATTTGCAAGGGAATTCTTTGCGAGATCCTGAAGCTTCCCGGGAAGGCTGCGGAAAGTACAGAGGATCCCTTACCTCCCCTGCTCTTCCATTGGCTGGATCCTCTGCACCAACTTTCCCGCAGCCCCGCACCGCCCTTCTCCAAATCACTCCGCGCCCAGAAAGCAAACTACCGACTCGTCTCTATCCCGTGGGTTTCTCAGCCACGAACTGGAGTCTCAGGGCCAGGAACTGAGCAGGAGGTCGGTACTAGGAGAGTTCTGCAGAGACTCTGGGAACAGTATAGAAACCAACCTTCGCGTTTAATTTAGGTGACTTACTCCAGACACAAGGGACCCCTAGTGGATAGAACTTTTGGACAAAAACCACTCCCCATTCCGGTTTTTCCTTCTTTTATCAATATGTTTGGGGCCGAAGCTTGCGTTTTCTTATCCGCCCGAAAGGGAAATAATAATAGCTGTCATCTTTGCAGCCTATTGTGAGCGTTAAATGGAAAAATAATAATGTCTACCATGTAACGTTCGCCTACTAGATGCTTGACATTGGCTAAGTGTTTTACTAGAAATGAGTTCATTCAATCCTCAAGAGCTGGGCTCCCCTTCTTCCAAGAAGTAGGCAATATTATTTTTGTGGGTTTATAGCAGCAAAACCACAGTGCTAACATACAGTAAACACACAAAATAAGTCACATATTAAATTTGTACTCTACATTTTACCTAAAGAATAATTGAGATGTTTGAAATTAAAATCAAGTAAGATTACAGAAAGAGAAATAAATATATATAAAGCCATTTGTTATGAGCAAATAATAAGTGGTATGAACATATAGACCAACAAACGAGCCTTAGATCTATAATATAGACAATTTATATATACATATGACAAAGAATAGGCCTTTTAATATATTTTTGTACATAGGACATATATATTTATAATAGATCAATTCATAATTCAAAACCTTCCAAGAAGCACATATCTCAGAAATTCTACTGATGGAATATGGCGGTCCTTAGATACCCACTCTCTAGAGCCCCTAGACAGTAGACTCTGACTCTTCAGTAACCTTTTTTTTTTTTTAATTTTTGTTCTTTTGTTTTGTTTTAAAGTCCAGAGTGCCCGTGAGACTATTATTATATCCTGCTTGCATTTTTTTTTTTTTTTTTGCCATTGATAGTCTCAGAAGCAGCTCTGAGTTTCTTGACAGCCAATGCAAAAAGGAATGAGGACAGATTTTCTGATGCTGTTCTGAGGTCTAGATGGTAGCAGAAAACAAGTTGAAGGCAGGCTTCTGGCCTCCCTGCTGCCGGATTTCTTCCAATTAAATGCTGATAGACTTCTTCTCCATATACCCCTTCCCCATTCACTTCAAAGCCAATTTAGGAACTTTTCTCTTTTTTCATTCCATGGTCCTGCCCTTGATGCAGCAATTCAAAGGAAGAACCTTTTTTTTCTTCATTCCTGTGCCCTTCAGTGCCCCAACGGGACTACCACCGATCACTTTCTCAGAATTACAAATGAATTGTAAATATCACTCAGATTTATCCTCATCTAAAATTACCCTCAAATTTCCTTTTAGCACACCTTGTTCTTTTCTTGTAGTCCCATCTACCATGCTTGGATGCTTCAGATGCCCTTGCAGATTTTTTAAGATGGATGGCATTGGCAGGTCTGCTTAATTTGAATTAAGTTTTTAAATTTGCTGTCAGGACATCTCCTTTGAGCCCCAGCTCAAACCATCCCATTCCTTTCCTGCTTTGGTGGTTCTGTCCTCTGTCCCTATTAAAATACTCTACAAGTGCAGATTATATTAAGCCCTCCAAAACAAGACCTGGAAGCCAGGGCTTCAGACTGCTATGTCCCAACTCACCCACCTTACCTTGTGGCGCTTTGAAGCATAGCAGCTGTGCCTACACATACAGCCCACCAGGACAGAAGTTTGTGTGTAGTATACAGAAGCAATCATCTCAGGGAAATTGATCAGGTAAAATAGCTGTAATAGCTGTCTACTCATGTTGTGAAGGATGCTGAAAAAAATAGGCATAATATGTCAGGTGATCAAAAGCAATTAGTTGTAATGGACCAGAATAAAACTGATACATTTATAGGGCTGACTAAAGCACTCTTGAATTTGGCAAGCTTGTAGCTTTAATCATTCTCTGTTTGCACAAAAATTTAATAGATTGCTAAGGGAACAGGTCTTTTTAGAGCCCAGGATATATCTTCTAGGACTTTTCCCCCACAATGCCAATCTTATCTTTGTGTATGGGGCGAGGGATGCTGAATCAGGGCCTGATATATGTTAAGCAAGTACTCTGCCGCTGAGCTTTACCCTCAGCTGCAAACACTGTATCTTCTATGTAATGGATGTTCAAAAGGTACTAAGAGCACATTTTTAAAGATATCCATTCAAAATTGAGGCTAAAAAAGTAGAATCATTCTTTTTCAGAGTGTTGATGTAATTTGGGTCTGTTCACCTACAGGGCAGTTTTCCACACAAAAGGGTGTTTTTTAAATTCAGATACCATAAGGACTTTGGCAACACTATTTATTGTAATTCTCTAGTTGATCATTACTTTCTGTGTATTATTTTTATCTTGGCATGAACTCTCTGTTGGGGTTGGGAAACAGGAATCCTTTCTTCTCTAGTTACCATAGGTGTCAAACACTTTTCTGATAGTACAGCAATCAAACCTATGCATATTTAACACAATCTCAAAGATATTTTTTCCAACTCTCCAAAAAACTTTGTATAGTGTCCTCCCCCCCACACACACACACATACACACGCAACAAATAAAGAACACAAAGTCAGAAAACCCTGTTATCAGTCACATCATCTCTTTTTTTAATGACATTTATGATTTTTTTCCTCCCAAAATGAAGTGAGACTGTTTTGGCAGCTATGTAACTAAAACAATATTCCTTAATATCAGAAATATGTAGTAATGTTAGACTTACATAGGTAGACTAACCTCAAAGATCAAAGTCTAATCCTGAATTTTAAAGGCTAAAGATTAAGACCCAGTCTCAGAAAAGTCAAAACTTGATAGGGTTAATAGTAAATTACAGCCAAATCAAGAGTGGAAGTGGAAGTTGGTGTCAGTTCTAAGCTAAGTATCTCTACAGGAGGAGTCTGGTGTTGGAAGGAGACACCAAAGTTACTTTTATTTGTCAATTTACAAAAGATTCAGAAAACATTAGTGAGCCATACAAAAAACAGTAAGTATGTTGATGAAGAACATAAGGAATGCCAACTCCCTTGAGATGCTGCTTGATGTTCTTATTTAGCTGGGTATTGATGCACAGAACTGATCAATCATGTGGCATATAAGTTGGGACTTGCACTGATATTCTTGGAACTCTCATCAACCTCTCAAAAACATTTAAAACATAAAAAATCATCCCTAATAAAAAGCATTACCATAGTCTATAGAGAAAACAGCACTCATTCCATACATCCAAGGGGTTGTTACAGTGATCAAAGCCTTATGCGAAGGCTTTAAAAAGTGAAGGCATACCATAAAATACAAACTTTTATTTTTAATAATTCTAGAAGAACTTGGCAGAAAAAAAGTTTTACTAGCTCAGTTTAGAATTGAACTTGACAACTGCACCTAGCACATTTCAATAAATATTCTTGAATGAACAACTGGCAATTTTTTCTTTTCATTGGAATAATTACAAACCCAGTGTTGCCTTTCAGGTGCCACAAGAGATCATAATGGCTCCACTTTTGGAACTCTCTCCAAGTGTAAAAATAAATAAATGAATAAATAAGTCAGTGGCAAAAGATTCAATTACCATACAGTTTTAAAAGTTTGCATTTAACAAATTAATGCCTTTAATAGCCACAAACACGAAATAATCTTCATTACTTGAAAATAATACACTAAATTTTAGTGCTTAATAAGTGTTAGGCTAGGTTAAAGCCTCCTCCACTGCCATCCACCCACTACTCAAGTCTAACATTCTGACCACTTATTCACTTAATAGGCATATTTTTATTTTCAGTTCACATTTGGAGGACAGTTATTCCTTGAGAATATTTTTCAGATGTTCTCCACTAGGCATAAAGTAGTCATAATCCTGAGTAGAAATGACCACAGCTGTAGCTGGCTTTACCCAACATCAAATTACCGACCTCCTAAAGCTGCAAAGGTGTAAAGTGGAGCAGGGGTTGGGGGTTTGGAAAGATATGTGAGATAAGCCAAGAGTGCCATCTTGTGGCCAATAAAAAAATGTTGGGTTTTTTTTTTTTTTTCCTATTCTCAATTCTGATTCCCTTGGAATCTGTTCATTTTCCCATGTGTACACGGTACCTTAGAAAGGGTTTCAGTTGGCAGAATATTAACCCGTCTTTTCCTTGGCCTAGAGGCGGGGCAGATGTTTGTGTTCTGCTCAACAGAAGGTGCATCAAAGCTAGTTGACAAAGAACAGAACTGGAACCCCCACCAAACTATCACAGAACTCCTGGTGGTTGATGATACAAATCTGAGCTAATGACGAAACAAAACTATATGAATGTGGCCAGGATGAGAAGGCCACAAAGGGTTCATGTCACCACATCCAGGGTAAGAGGCAATTGACAAAAGCAAATGAGCATTGTAACCCATACGGAGCAAGAACAGCTGTGCCATCATCACCTTTAGACTGGTCCAGCTACTCTGCTTTGGAAAAATTCCAATGCAAAGTTTGGAAAGAAGATGAAAAAAAAAAAGGTGAAGAGCAGGCTTTGGAATGCATCCCTGTTCATTCCTCAGTCTGTCATTATGGGAGAACTTGATTGATCACAATTCTCAAGGGAATCTCTGGGAGCCCCACCCGCACCCCATGGTGGCAACCAGTGCTAGAGAAACCAAGTCATCCATGAACTAAAGCCATTCTGGAAAGCTATCCCCACTAACTGGTGAAAACAGAAAACAACAACACCCAGTCACTGGCCCCTTCTTTTCATCTCTACCCAGGTAGGGAAACTCTATATCATTGGCCAAATCAGTTGGTTTGGCTAAAGAAGAAAGAAGGGCTGCTGGAGAGATTCGTGGCCAGCAAGGCAGGTGGCATCCTCCTGGGGATGCCCACTCTTGTGTGGCTGCCATAAAAAAACACAATAATTTTGTGTCAGTCCTTAGACCCTTTCGGGTGTCACTTGCACATCTAACTCAACTTGGCTAAATGAAGAAGTCCTCTGTTTCCACACACTTGTCAGTACACATGCATCTATTGACTCTTATACTCTGGGCTCTTTGTTGGACTCTGAGTACAGAGATGAGTAAGATATATGTTCTGCCCCCAGGTTCACGGAGTAGTGGAGATTTCACTGGGCCTTGAATCTGTGTTTTGGGGGTCCTAGGGTGTGAGCTGTCTCTACCGGCCTCTGTTGCCTCATCTGTTCAAGGAGAGCATTGGGTAGACAGTCCTAGAATCCACAGTGCTACCTGCAGCC